CCCCAGCCGCATGCCCAGCAGGGAGGCCCACCAGTGCGCCTGGAGTGCGCGCCCGCAGGGCCACCCGGAGCTTTCCATGGCATTTCGTGTACTGGTTGTGCACAGCCGCTTCGCTCGCCGTGGCCCGCCGGTCGGCAAATCGACTTGACTCTACATCGACCGCCACTTCGAGCCAAGGGCAAGGGCTGACTTGATCAGCTGTCATACATTAACGCCACAGAACTCCACTCTGCAGGGTCTTCCATAGACGATGTTTCTTTTTCTGATTGTACCGCATACACGCATTCACGGGTGACCAACTTACTGCGCGTCGTATGGTGCCACTTGGACGCCTAGGTCATAATTTACTCTATTATCTTGATCTTATTCGCTAAAATGTATTGGTTTGTTTTCATGCACACGTTCGTGCTATGCTAAAGCCTACGATTTATGTAGACAAATTTGTGCCTCCTAAATACTTACGGGGTGTCGAGTGACCCTGGAACCCTTAAAAACCCGGGAATAACCCTTGAAATAAATATTCGGTTGCCGCTGACCCTGACTTAGCGTACCTGTTAAACGACTCGCCGGATGCAGACTGCGGACGGACTGCATACTTGCTTTGGACCATAATTCGCATTGACGATTTATTTCAGCTTTGCACTTTCTATTTGATTAAAATAAACATTGTAAGTAAGGGAGGGAACGAGTACACAGCCCTACTTCCTGTAAGGTGTATCAGCTGCTTTTAAAATCAATTCGAGATGTAGTTTTTTTGTTCTTCCCTTTTGCGTTTATCTTAAACCTTTAAATGTGTACACAATTAATGTCTTGCTTCATCGTTTTTATGCCACTTCAGTCTCACTTTTCTGTACATGAAATGGTTTTCACACATCGTTTCTCCGTGAATTCTCTCAGAATGTTGTGGAAACTTTCTTAATGTAGTTATTGTTCTTGCAAATACCACAATTTTACTTGTCCAAACGCGTTAACATTGTTGTAAACTGGACTAAAATGACAAGCAAGGCCAAGCAGGAAGCAATACTCTGAAACAAAGGGAATGCGTTTTTCTGATTGGTCTTCATAAACTAACGAGTTCCCTTTTGAAGGACAGTTATGTACTTACCCTCTTCATTGTACTCAAATCGAAATAATAGGGATCGACAGCTTTAAATCGTATTTCTTGCATTTGAACCTGCTGGATGAACCCGAATATCTGCAATCATGATAAAAATGTACCAATAATCGCATACTTTTCTTACGTTCGTTCAAGTGATTACAGCGATCGCATGTTGCTTTTAAAAGACATACTTCTTCTTTGCTGTGGAGATCCATGTTTGGATGATGAACCCTTCTTGTATGCAAGGCGGCCGTAATCCTCGAACTCTACAACAATTAAAGTTGGGAGTTTGCACGCAGGAGAGCAACACCGTATCTTTTTTTCTCAATTTGAACTTACCTGCATCAGCATCTGCTCGCCGATAATACAGACAAACAGTAGCTTAGCCGTGAACACCGTGCCCCAGACTAGGGTCCATAGTCTTTTGAACGTTCCTACACAGAGGAAAGATAACATTTACACAATCGCATATTTTTCAGTTTAGCAAGACTGCAAAATATAATGCGCTTAGTGCCAGATTTCAATTATAATAAGTACATTACCGGCAGTGTTATTTTCCTACCGTTAGGCATAATCACGGCAGTGTACAGACAGACCACGCCCTGTACCATCGTTGTGGTGATGCAGACCACGTTGAACAGTTGATATATTTGGTTCGTCGCGTTGACGCCATCGTGCACTCCCTGGTAGCGTACTCTGAGCGCGCGCATGCGCCGGGCCAGGGAGGCAGTGGTTTTTGCCAGGCGGCACACCGAACATGTCGCCTTGGCCGCGGGGGCGCCCAGGGTATCCCCGATCGACACGACGGGACACGGCGTGTTGAGGAGTTCCTGGACATCGTCGGCTATGCCGGCTAAGCAGTCTATGCTGACGGACATCACGTGGATGAACGTGTCCTGGGTAAGGCTAATGAAGAGCACTGGCAGCATGTCATTCAGTCCGTATAAGATGCCCACCCACCGTGCGAGTGACTTGGTGCTCATCTGTGACAGGCAAACAGCGAATCAAGCAGGCTGAAAGTGCAAGAACTAATGCGCCGCACTATACACAATTAAGTGCATTTTAAAAGTAATATTGTCTCTTCATTGTTAAGTGTCCTTTGCGGAGCAGGCGACAGTCGTACATTGATAAAAAGCATTGCAACGCTGTACACGATGGGTGCCGCTCCGAAGCAGAGGATGGCGGCGGTCCTGGTCTCGTACTTGCGCCTCGGGATCGGGAAGGCCTTCAAGTGCAGCTGCACGGCTCTGACCAGCAGGCTGAGCTCGTGGGAGTGGCGCACCATGACCACCTGCGTCAAAAAGGTGACAGACATTTATTGTATGTAGGACGGCCATTGGTTCAGTTGGAATGGATGCATTTTCAACCTGTTTTCCACCTTTACATGCCTTAATTTTCTTTCGACCTCTCACCTGTACCAGAGTCAGTCCAACGTTCTTAATCAGGAAGGAAAGCAAGTAGGTTGAGATCGTGAACCTGTAGACCTCAGACGAGACTCTGGACTGCCTATCGCTCAGCCCAGGTAGGAGTGACCAAATGCATTCGAACTGTACGGTTTCAATAACACCATAGGGCATTATTCAAGAACGAATTGACATAGCGATTCAAGTACTTCATTGTCATTTAAGAAATGTCTAAAGTCCTCCACCCACCACCTTTTCTTCTCAAAAGAAGAAAATTGTAACATATATTTTTCGCACCCACCGTCATGTACACCATCGCGGCCCTGGCGATGCTGGTCAGTGGGGTGGAGACATGTGCGTACCGCGTCCAGGGCCGCGAGCTGTGCGGCGGCCACCCGCTGCAGCCGAGCATGGACCCGAGCCGCATGCCCAGCAAGGAAGCCCGCCAGTGCGCGTCCAGTGCGCGCCTCTGCATGGCACACCACGTACTGGCTGTGCACGGCCGGTTTGCTTTTTCTTGTCTGCCACTCGGCAAATCGACTTGACTCAACATCGACCGCCGCCTCGAGCCAAGAGGAATTGCGGCTGACCCAGCCACAGACAGAATTTCGATCCGACGACACTTCGAAGTCGAAATCGGAACATCTTCGACTTAGGTGACAAATTCCCGTATTTAGTCTGCGGCGATTTCGAGTGCATCAACGACATCGACCTAATTTCTAAAATGAATTTCTGCGTAAGGATTTCAGCACTCAGCATGGATCGATGCCACTGACGTTTATTGTGCACATTCAACCCTGTTATGCACCCAAAAAAGGGTGTTCTTTAACGAACTAAACTCGGCTAAACGGAGAACATTTGTTCGTCTCAATACTAATTGCATTGGTTCTAATGAAAATTGCATTGGCCTGATATAAATGTTCTTACGAAATCAAATGCCAAAAGCATGCTTTTCTGCGTGTGCAGGATGCAGCCAGACGCTCCATATAAGTTGTAGTTTCTAAATTAATGCCTTAAGGGATCTGTCTGTATTGCAACATAAGTACAAAAACCCAAAATCAAGTGCTAACATGTGATACCCAGACAGAATGTTTTTATGGGCTACGAAGTTATTAATTTCACGATCAGCCCTTGAAACCCCAAATGTTGCCGCTTTCATATGTGACAGTTCTTGATGAATTCGTGTAATTTCTTTGTCAACTTTTTGTTTGTACAATTAATTGTTCGAGTACCACACATTTTTTATTTGTAAAATTCTGCTAACATTGTTGAAAACTGGACTAAAACGACGATCGAGGCTAAGATGGATGCAATAGTCTAAAACAAAGAGAAAGCGTTTTTCATTCACACTAACTTTGCAGCACCCTGCCGATCCACAAATATATACCTACCCTCTTCATAGTACTGAAATCGAAAAAATGAGGATCTACAGCTTGAAATCGAATTTCCTGCATCTGTATCTGGTGGAAAAATCTGCTAATCTGTAATCATGATAAATGTGCCAATTGTTTCTCTACCTTGGTCCTGTTTTATAAGTTATAAAATCGCATTTTAATAAGATTTACTTCTGTTTTGGCTTGAAGGTCCACGTTTGGATACTGAGCCATTCCCGTCTGCAAGGCGGTCGTTATCCTAGAATTCTACAAGGAATCAAATACAGGGACTGGCACCTTTAGAAACCCCAGCGTCTTTGCGTTACTTGAAACTGCTAGACTTACCTCTATTTGAATCTGCTCTCCCGTGATACTAATAAACATGAGCTTTGCTGCGATCAACGAGCCCCAGATCATAGTCCACGTGGAATTTATCCCTGTGATGAGAAAATGTTTCCGTTTATTTTGTAAATGGGTGTTATTGCTTTATGTACTGTTAAAGTCCGTGTGTAAGACTGCTGGGCACTTTGTCTTGTATTCTACAATCTACGCTAAACCCAATAACCCCCTTCCCCTAAGGTTTCTATTACACCTTACCTCCCCAACTGCCAGACTCAATGGCGCCCCACACCGAACCCCGGATTATGACATATTAGCACTACTCAAAACTGTCAAGACGTTACTGAAAGTTCACGCACTATTATTCGATTCGTGTGATGTCACATGGGTTAACATGTAAAAGCTGTCACATCGGGTTAAATTCTAAAGTCACATAAAAAGCAATGTGAAGCGTGCCTGTTTAGACATATTTCTAGAAAAAATCGCAACCCTATCACTCAAGGCTTAGTTTAAAAAAGAATTTAGAGTCAAAGAAGATGGCACCCCTGGGAATTAAATTTTCGTTCATGGTTAGAAAATTGCAATTATATCAGTTATCTTGTTCTTTACTTTGATTTTCTGATGAGGTAGGTTAAGGAATGTAACGTCAGACGAATTGAGTAAGAGTGCACTGATAGGTAAAGACATGATAGAAAAACTGTACTGAGTTCCCTTTAAACCTTCCTTAATTGATACATTAAAACGCATCAAAATCTGAGTAAACATGTATGTACATAGCCGGCAATTTTACTTTCCTGTCACTACCATGCCGGCGTACAGACAGACCACCACCTGGATTGTCGCCGTTGTGACCGAGACCGTGTTGAACAGTGCGTATATTCGGTTGGTTGCAAGGACCCCGTCCTGCACGCACTGGTACCGCACCCTGAGCGCGCGCACACCCCAGGCCAGGGTCGACGTGGACGTCCTCAATGGTGGATGGTGCACCGGGCACACCGGACACCCCGGCGACGTCGTGGAGGCGGGCGCGTTCAAGTTGACCCTCGCTCCAGGTGACTCGACGGGCGCCTGCGTACTGATAAGCTCCTCGACGTCGTCCGCTATGCCCGCCATGAGGTCGGTGCTCGCAGACACCACGTGGTTGTACGAGTCCTGGGTGACGCTGACAAACACCACCGGTACGAGGTCGTTGATGGCGTATGCGACTTGAATCGGTGACGTGACCTTTGGGGAGTTCGCCTGCGACAAAAAACAAAGTGCTCTGCCCAGTCAGTGAAGGTGAGGCTCCCTTGGTTTAGGCCCCGCTGATTAAGATGGCAGTCGTACGGTCATGATGGCCATTGCAACGATGTACGCGAAGGGTGCCGCTCCGAAGCAGAAGAGGATGGCGTTCCGGGTCGCGTACGGGCTCCTCTGGCTCGGACAAGCCTTCAAGTACAGCAGCATGGCCCTGACCAGCAGGCAGAGGTCGCGGGAGTGGCGCACCATGACCATCTGCGGCATTTAGTTGAAGTACATTGTGCATACGATGCACTGTTAAAATATTTCATCGAGATCAGGGCTTCTACCAACTATTGAGTACGCTACACTTTCGATCCAGCTGTGCTTCATCCTGAAAGTAAAGCGTATATAACGTGTTTGCCGCTCCTAACCTGTGTTAGCGTCAATCCGACGTTCCTCGTGAAATAGTCAAGCAAGTAGAGAGCGTAAACGAACGCGTTTATCGCAGCCGAGGCTCCAGGGGAGTGGCTGATCGTACTGAGCTTCCTCCAGAAACCGACCATCTGCACGGAGTGAACATTGTGAGGCACCGTATTGTTACTGCTTGTGTGTGTGTGTGTGCGCGCGCGCGGGCGCGTGTGCGTGCGTGCCTCTCATCTGCAACGATAGCACGCATGTATTTTAGAGGGAGAACTTGAATAGCCTACCGTCGTGTACACCATGAACGCCCTGGCGATGCTGCTGACGACCGTGAAGACGTGTGCGTATCGCGTCCATGGAAGCGAGGCGCGCGGTGGCCAGCCGCTGCAGCCCAGCATGCCGGCCAGCCGCATGCCCAGCAGAGAGGTGTGCCAGTGTGCCTCCAATGCGCGCCCCCATAGCCGCCCGGGACGCTCCATGGCGCGCCGCGTACTGAGTGTGGGCGGCCCGCGCGGGCAATGCGTCTCGGATGAACATCGACCGCCACTTCAGGCTAAGGAGGACTATGGAAAACTAGGATCAATGCTTCAAAACTCCATTGTTTACATTCGATACTGTGATGTAGCCATAAGCTCTCTGCTGTCAGCAGATGTTTCTGATTCAATGCCCGAGGTGGTTTCCTTTTAGTGTTGTATCGAATGTTTGTTGATGCACCTTTTTTGCGTGATATCTTTGTGTAGGAAAGTTTCCGTCAATATCATGAAATTGGTTATTAATTTCTTGATCAGCCATGGTGTAAATCCCTGTAGTCACGTGTCGCTCAAACTTTATTTTGCTGTTTGAAAGGACCGTTACGTTATTCACTCTGCAATGATGACTTTTAAACTATATATTTGTAAAGTTGCGTTAACATTGTTGAAAACTGGACTAAAACGACGACCGAGGCCATGATGGAAGCAATACTCTAAAACAAAGACAACAGATATATTAACAAACAGAAGCGCCCGAGGTAGCGCCCTGGTGATGCACCAATATGTATACTTACTCTCTTCATAGTAGTCAAACCAAAATAGTAGGGATCCACAGCTTTAAACCGAATTTCCTGCATCTGTATTTGCTGGCAAAATCTGCTTATCTGTAATAATAACAAATATGGCAGTGTTAACCTGAATTTGTTCATGTAGTAAGAAACCAAGAAACAATGTCAAGTTTTAATGGGACCTACTTCGGCTTTGCCTTGAAGATTCATATTTGGACGGTGAGACATTCCTGTCTGCAAGGCGGCCGTTATCCTAGAATTCTGTTAAAAATCGAGTTCATTGGACGAGCATGCAACATGACCACTGCATCCTTGCATTTTCTCAAGCTATAGCTAAACTTACTTCGCTTTGAATCTGCTCTCCAATGATACACATAAACATTAGCTTGGCTGCGATAAACGTGCCCCAGATTATGGTCCAGATTGAATTTAATGCTGTAGAGGATAAAAATGTTCGCTTATTTTTTAAATGATGCGAAAATATCATTAGTTATATTGCCGTGGTTATCTGCTGTGCAAGAGTGATGGGCCCTCCTTGTCCATCGCCATTAACAGTTTTACTCGCTGTGTTCTTTACCCCCGAAACTGCTCGAATCACAAGTGCCCCACATTAACACTATCGAAGATGTACTGTACTGGTACGACGCCGGAAACGTCAAGACGTTTTTGATTGTACCCACTAATGGCAGCGATGCGAAAGCTTCAACGAGTTTTTGTTAATCCTAGCTTAATCAATACCCAGCACCATTTTCATAGAAATGTATACACTACCGACAATGTTACTTTCCTTTGCCGTGAGGCACTATCACACCGACATACAGACAGACCACAACCTGGACTGTCGCCACTGTGATGGAGGCCCTGTTGAACAGCCCGTATACCCCGTTGGTGGCGAGGACCCCGTCGTGCACGCACTGGTACCTCACCCTGAGCGCACGCACTCCCCGGGCCAGGGTGGAACTTTGCGAGGGGTAGCGCCCCCGGCACGCCGGGCACTTCGTCGAGGCCGGCGCGCTCAGGGTGGCTCTGAATCCGGTCGACTCGACGCGTGCGTGCTTATTGATGAGCTGCTGGACATCGTCGGCTATGCCCGCCAATAGGTCGGTGCTCGCGGACACCACGTGGCTGAACGAGTCCTGGGTGACACTGATGAGCACCCATGGCAGCAGGTCGTTCAGGCCGTACGCGACGTTCAGCCAGAACACCCCCTGCTTGGTGTTCGCCTGCGATAAAAAAAGGCACTGCCCAGTCAACAAGGCTGACTGCTGTCTTACCGCTTTAGTAAAAACGACATATGAGTCGTACGATGATTGTCGACATGCAAACGGTGTACGCGATGGGTGACGCTCCGAAGCAGAGTATGATAGCGTTCCTGGTCTCATACTTGTGCCTTTGGCTCGGGAAGGCATGCAAGTGCTGAAGCATGGCTCTTACTACCAGGCACAGCTCCTGGGAGTGGTACACCATGACCACCTGCGGTAGAGAGTGGGAACTTTAAGGTGAGGTGTATACAATCCTGCCAAAAATCTGTCAAATCGGCAGTTCACTCCCCTGAATTTGAGGTAGCTTATGTGTTGCCCGTGCAAGTGCTGCTGCTAGCCCCTTACCTGCGTCACTGTCAATCCGACGTTCATTATGAGAAAGTCAAGCAAGTAGAGAGCGTAGACGAACCCGCTTATCGAACCCGAGAAGTTAGGAGAGTTGCTGATTCCATTCCGGATTCCGTTCCAAAAACTATAGATCTGTACGGAATCAATATTAGTAACACGTACTCGTTTGCTATTGTGTGTTTTGTCCACGTTTTTGTTTTGCGCATGTATTCTGCAACAAATGCACATTTCAAAGCGTGCTCGAAGAGCTCCCTTACCGTTATGTACACCATCATGGACCTGGCGACGCTGGACGCGGCCGTGAAGACGCGCGCGTAGCGCGTCCAGGGCCGCGATGCGCGCGGCGGCCAGCCTCTGCAGCCGAGCATGCCGGCCAGCTGCATGCCCAGCAGGACGGCGCGCCAGTGCGCCTCCAGTGCGCACCCCCAGCGGCTGTCCATGGTGCACCGCGCAGTGCTCGCGACTCGAACGGCAGGCCGAGGCTCAGCTGACCGGCACCTCATCGACCTGTTAGGGGGGTCGCTATGACTTGAGCCACCGTCAAGTACCGGCCTCCTTTGGATTACTTCCAATCACAGGATTACCGTTTTCGCTTCGACCGCCCCAACCCCCCTACGGCCAGCTTTCTTCATGGGCACCCTTCTTTTTATTTCCTCCGAGTCGGTACTTAGAAAGCGCTTCACGTGGACGACGCAGCGCTCTCCTGTCCGGAGAGCCGGGCGAAGTGAGGCGCTCTCTGATGAGTCCGCAAGTTGTGATGCTAGGCTGTCAGCTGCGCACGAGAAACACTTTCCGAATTCCAGCGCGAGCAGGGGAGGCAGAGAGAGAGAGAGAGAGAGAGAGAGAGAGAGAGGGAGAGAGAGAGAGAGAGAGAGAGAGAGAGACGGAAGAGGGGTGAGACAGGGGGAGTAGCATGGGAGGAGAGAGAGCCCAGCTTAATGACACTTTGTTCTCTTGTTGCAGGTAAGCGGCGTTCCGGTCCGGGGCGGCAGCCAGGGTGAGTCTGAGGTCAGAGCGCCGCCCGCCGCGTCGGCTGAGCGAGAGATTTAGGGACTCTTTATAGGCCTATTAAGGAAGTTTTGTGCCGCCCCCGAGCCGCCGGCGATAGGCTGCTGTCCTCGCGGCTGTCGGCGGCGGCGTAGCGATGGGGCCGTGCGAGTTGGGTAGAGAGGGGGTGGCGGGGGCGAGGGTTGTTGCGTGTCTCCTATTTCGCTCCCGCCTGCTCTCTCAGAGCTGGTGAAAGGGTAGGGGTGAATTCCTGATGAAAGTGAGAGTATCCACAGCGCACCAGAGTCGAGGAGGGATGATCAAGTGAAGCGGTGGGCGATCGCTTAGGCACGCTCCCTACCGCTACACCGCGCCACTCCCCGCCCCGCCACGCCACCTCACGCCCTTTGCCAGGACAGACAGCAGGCGAATGAGCCGACGGGGAGATGGACGAAGACAGATTGCAGGCCCCGCCCGTGGCGGGGTTTGGTTGGCTGGTTGGTTACTCGGCAGGGTGGCGGTGCAAACTCTCCATTATCGCTCAGGAGATCGACAATCTCGCCGGCTGCTCTTGCCGCTGCCCTTGCTGCTGCTCTTGCTGCTGCTCTTGCTGCTGCTCTTGC